GGGGTGGGGCGGGGTTGACGCTGGAGGGGTGGGGCGGGGTTGATGCTGGAATCTGAGCAATTTTACTCACGCCGATTGGCGCAGAACCATCAGCGGGCTGCTGCATTCGACGTCTCAGACCGATCAGAACCCATGTCTTTCTTCCTATGCGAATCATTTTTAGGCGAGTGTGTCTGGAGCTGGGTTGGAGTGTGTAGCTCAGCAGCTCTTGTGCGCTGGGGGGTGCTGGCCTTGGCCGGTCCTGCAGCTTCCGGCCCTGCAGCTGCTAATCGCCCACCTGTAGCCGTCGTCTGACAGCAGCTGAGTCAGCAGGTCCGTAGTCGTGATCATGTACGCCCCATCGGGCCTGAAGGCCGGGGCGCGGAACACATCCGATCCGTAGATCCGTCGGCCCTCCAGACCATATGTCAGGGGGTCAGCAAAAAACTTGCCGGTCTCATCTGCTGGCGGCGGGTCAAAGGAGGGGCCCGGCGCTGGCGGCGCCGGCGCGGAGGGCGCCGGCGCGGCGGATGCCGTGCCGGCCGCGCGTGCGGCGGCGGCGGGCGGTTGCGGGTCACCGGCTGGCGCGGCGAAGGGGCAGCGGCTTGCGAGGGTGAGGCTGCAGCGGCGCCTGGAAAGATTTGAAGGCCGTTGTGACCTCGTAGCCACGCTGGTCCTCGCGCTCAGTTGCATTGCGGTACTTTTCCGCTCGTGCTGAGTCGCGGGAATCTACTGTTTCGACTCATATACAATAAAGTCAAATAATTAGTGTGGTTTTAAATGATCAGAGTTGAACTCAACTCAGACATTGCACGGGTGATCATCAGGTGATCGGGTGAGTGATGCAGGCAACCACGCTCGTAATGAGCGAACCTGAACCTGAGACCCGCAGCGTGACGGGGCGTGCCAAGCAATACCATGGTCATAAAGCAATTGCGCAGTCCAGGCTGTGAGCTCGTCACCGTTGGTAGCACGGCCTGTGCCACAACCCGACGTCACCAGGTGCGAGGCAGTCTGTTTCTTACTCACACCGTATCCTTGCACCTGGAGGCCCCAGATATCCTCAGTTGCAGCTTAATCACGGATTTCGAGGGTGTCGACAATGCGCCACACCCGCTGCCACAGCACCACGGCCTGAAAACCTCCACGTACCGGGCCATCGCCACCCCTTGCAACTGACCACCGGGCCCCGCGCCGGCCCACCAGCGTCGCAACTTCTCCGCCCCCCGCGTGGCCCGTGCTGCCCGGGGCTGCCTCTGCAGCTTGCTCCTTCGTTATGCGGTGCCGCCCGCAGCCGCTGCCGGGGCCAGCCGCTGCGCCGCGACCGGCCGCACACGCGCACACCCAGCGGCGTCGGTGGGCCCCCTGACACTTACAAATCACGCGTCCCATCCTTCCCGAAGAATGGGCGGGGTTGTAGATGAGGCCACCCCAGCCCCAGTCAGGTGGAGGCTGCCACAGCGACTTGTTTTCGACTTTACTCGAGGCCTGCTTGGCCGCAAGGGGCCCACAACGGTGCCACACAGCAGCAGAAGTTGATGAGGGGAGGATTCATCAAAGCGGGTCATGAGGTGCTGCTGGACGTGTGGGCCCGGGGTGGGGCCAGCAGCGGGCCCGGCAGGAAAGTGAGTGCCCTCAAGTTGGGGCGGGAGACGCCTGCGAAGGCGACGAAAGCAATCAGGCGCCGCAGGCGCAAAGGGGACGACAGGGCAAGGCAGCGCAACAAAATGCAGAGAAGGCCCGCCGCATTGAAAGCACAGTGAGGCGCGAGGGCGCTGGGCCCTGGAGGGCTGAACGGAAGAGAGCCGCGTGCGGCAGCAAGGCCGGCCGCGGCCGCAAGCAACCGGGGGGCACCGCCGCACCGGCTGCGAGCCCGGCAACTGGGAACGCCACAGGGTTGAAGACGAGGACAGAGAGCAGAGCAAACTAAACACGGTCGGGCGGACCCCACAACACCACCACCACCAGACACAACAGCGCCCTGCCCGCCGCGGCGGCCGGCGCCAGGGCGCGCGCGCGCGCCGGCCGCCGGGGTGCGGGCAGCTGACCTCGCGGCACGCGGCCGCGGCCGCGTGCACGGCGCCCGCTATCCCTTGCGCTCGAACTGCCAGGCGAGGGGGCCGCAGCTCGAAGGCCGCGGCCGCGACCGCGGCGCCGCGCGCCGCGTGCGGCGCTGCCGTCCCTCTTGCGCCGCCACCCCTCTTGCGCCCCGACAGCGGCCAGGCCGCGGGGTCGCACGGTGGACGGCGCGCGTCATCCCTTGCGCTTCGAGAGCCTCCAGGCCACAGGGTCGTTGTATTTGTCGTAGAGCGGCTCGATGCGCTCCCAGCGCTTGCGGCGGCTGAGGCGGTGGGCGTCCGCGGGCTTGAAGAAGCGGGGGGCCAGCTCCACGAGCCACTGCGGGTCAATGTGCATCACCTGGGTGGGGGGAGTGTTGAGTGTGTGCGTGTGCGTGTGCGTGTGTATTTGTGATTTGTAACAGTGTGTATTTGTGTGCGTGAAGTTGTGTGCGTGTGTGTGCACGCGTGCGAATACATGCGTGCGTGTGTCAAGGGGGGCAACCGTACACGAGGGGGGCTTTCTTTGCTGGGGGGACTGATTAAACGGATTCGCAGTGAGGACGGCCGATCAGGGCCTGTCCCCCCCTCCCCAGGCCAGCCGGCCCGCCTGCCTGCAGACAGGGGTGCCGCAACTGTGGAGCGGCGGCAAAAGAGCACGCAGGCAAGCGCCCCTGGTCCCCGCCGGCCCGAGCCCAGCCGACTGACGGCCCCCCAGAACCGCCAGGTGTGTGGCCGAGGCCGAGGCCGTGGGCGGCAGTCCGGCAGTCCGGCAGTCCGCACCTCGCGCATGTACTCCTTGGTGGTGAGCACGAGCTCGTGGTAGATCACCCAGTCCGGCTGGGACTGGAAGACGCTGCTGCTGGGGTGGATGTACACGGGCTGCTGCTCCACAATGGTCTGGAGTTTGGGGTGGGTGGTTGTGATTGTGTGTATGTGTGTGTGTATGTGTGTGTGTGTATGTGTGTGTGGGTGTGTTTGTTTGTTTTGGGGGAAGGCAAATGGTTGGTACAGGTGAGTGCTCGCGCTGCCTCGCGATCAGAAGACAGGGCGCCAACGGGGCCCGACGGCCACCGTCCCCCTTGTACCAGCCCGCCGAGCCCGACCCCCACCCCTTCAAGGCACAGGCTGTGCCGTCCAGCCC